TGACTGTAGAAGTCGCCCATGTTTTTGTCCAGGGGGGGGGGGGGGGGGCGGCCACAACAGTAGTCTTGCCATCATGTTAATTCGACTGGAAGCGGAGCTCAAAGGTCGGGGGGCTCAGACAGATCCTGGGGCCTCGCCGGGTCGGACTCCTCCAAATTCCTATGATTATTAATTAATGGCTCTATAGGATGTTTTCAGATTATACTTAGAAATTTCTTCCCATAGATCCAAACGCTTATGATATATAAACTATAGTATGAGTATAGTTTGGGAGCAATTTTTAAAACTTATTTGGTGGGGACAGCAGGTAGCATGGTGGCTAAGGTGCTAGAGTCCCTCATGGCTGACCATGGTTCAAGCCCTGGACCCAGCAGCTTGAAAATCATGCCAGGCCATATGTACATGCATGCTCAAAATCTCAAGAGGAGACTGGAGGAGAAGGGATTACAGTATGGCCATCCCCTCCAGAGGGTGATTTTGCACTTTCTCTCATTTCTGATGAGCACACACATCCTATGGCAAAAAAATAAAATAAAATAAAAATAAAAATATAAAAATAAATAACACTAGTGTATTAGAAGTCATTTAACAGATAATATACTAGTAACTCAGAATTTAATGCCAGAATGATTTTGCATTGTGTTTGGGATAAGGTTAGAAAGCAGTAGGAAAGGAGGGACCAGCAGGTGGCATGGTGGCTAAGGCTCTGGACACTCCCACATGGCTGACCAGGGTTCAAGTCCTGAATCTGGTGGCTTGCTTTCTTACTTCCTCTCTCTCTCACTCTCACCCTCTGTCTCTCTCTGGTCAAATTAAAAAATAAATGAATGAATAAATAAAATGAAAAATAATTATTTTTTTAAAAAAAGAAAAAAAGCAGTAGGAAAGGAAATCGGTTGCTTTGCCTATTTTAGGCACTAGTCACAATATCTGTTTATGGGCCATAGGTAAATCAGACCTTGGGTTAGCTGACTTGGTAATTACTAGGAAAGGAGTTAAAATCAGTTTGATTCCTCTTGCTGTAAAAACTCTAAAAGTGTATAATTTTCAAATTAGTTTTTCAAATAATACGATTTAATGATAAAGAAGATAGGCCTGGCCTAGGTTAGAATCTGTGAGACTCTGTATCTCAGTTTCTTCATCTGTCAAACAGGGGTAATAATTGTACCACTGCCCAGCAGTTGAGGTGAGGGTTAAATGTTATACACGTAAATTAACTAAGACAGTGCCTTGCACATTGTAAGCGCCCTATACATATTAGTAGCAGTGATAGAAGTTCTTGTTACTCCTCTTTATCCCACTCAATATCAGTTCTTGTTATTCCTTTTCATTCCACTCAATATCAAGAACAGCACCTTGCACCCAGGAAGTACTTGGCTTTTTCCTTACTCAGTGCGTTCATCTTCCTTTGTCACCCCTGCCTCCCATGAGTTTGTAGAACAGATATAGCTGGCTAGATCCTAGCCATTTTCACCTTGATTTCTGTAACTTGCATGTAATTTTTCCTCTGCTTAATAAAAATGCCTTTGAGTTTTGTAAAGGATGTATTAGTGTCCATAAAGGCCGAAATCTTGGGCAAAGCTTCTTGGGCTATAAAAATAAAATACTGTCGGGATCAGGAGTTAGCATAATGGCTATGTCGCTGGACTCCCATGTTAGTTGACTGCGGTTCGCATCCTGGACCCGGTGGCTTAAAACTCATGCCAGGCACGTGTGCGTGCGTGCCCAAGATCCCGAGAGGAGAATGGAGGAAAAGGGATTGCGGTGTGGCCATCCCCCCTGGGGGGTGATTTCTCGCTTTCTTTCTCTCTGTCTCTGTCTGTCTGTCTGGCGAGCACATGCATCCTATAGCAAAAACCTCTCCAAAAAAAAGAAAAAGAAATAAACAAATAAAATACTGTCTATGTTTCTAAACTTTCTGGATATCCTGTAGAAATGGTTTTCCTGAAGGTAAGCAAAAAACAAATGGAACAGGACAGTGGACTGGCCCTGTGGCCAAGTGGTTAAGGGAGCCAGATCTCACATGGCTGACTATGGTTTGAATCCTGACACTGGAAGCTTGAAAAACTAAAAACATGCCAGGCACATATGTATGTGTACCCAGAATCCTAACAATATGGAAAAATGGATAAGGGATTGTGGCATAACCACAGCCCTCTAGGGGGTCCTTTTCCCCTCTTTCTTTGTGTCACTCTAGTGAGTACAGTACCCTCTGGCAATATAAAAAGAAAAAGGAAAAAAGAAAGAAATGGAACAGACCAGGACCAGCAGGTGGCACAGTGGTTAAGGGTTCTGGACTCCCACATAGCTAACTGTGGTTCGAGTCCTGGATCTGGTGGCTTGCTTTCTCACTTTCCCTTGCTCACTCGCTCTTTCTCTCCCCCACCTTTTTCTCTCTTTCTCTGTCCCTCTCTGATCAAAAAAGAAAGAAAGAAAGAAAGAAAAAAACAGGCCAAAGTGCCTCCTTTTTCAAAGCTTTACCCACTAACTCCTATGAAGAGAAGTTGAGAAACCTAGTTAATGTTAATGAAATAACTGTTACTTAACCTTACATAAATTATCAGCTACTTAAATCAGGTTCCCATACATTACGAGAGGTTCTTTTTTATTCCTTCAAAGCCTTAAAGTCAGAGAAATGGCTTACCATGAAACCTTCAATAACGACAGGATTGAAAAATAAGAATGATACCACCAACAGTGGTTGATAAAGGCATTGGTACTCACAACTCATGTGGAAACTTTCATATAAAACAGAGATTGGGCCCAGCTGCAGTGGCCCAGCGGTAGCACAAGGCTCTGCAGTTCTGGAAGCTGCGTGGAAGATCAGGGTTTGTTTTCCAGGTGGACTTTACACACTGGCGTGTGCATGCCTGTGGTCCTGGCTGTCTAAATGGCTGGGCAAGAACTGCAATGTGAGACTCGTTTCTCCACCAAAACAAAAAATGGAGATCTACCTGTAGATCTTCATACAGAAGTTAAAAACCCCACATGTGATATCTATTATTTTTTTAGTTTCAGAAAGGAAGTGTATATTACTTACATTTTGATATCTAATTCAAATACTTGAATAGAATTTCATATCGAAGGGACTAGCATATGGCGTAGTAGCTATGTCACTGGACTCCCACATGGCCAGACAGTATTTGATCCCAGACAGTGGCTTCAGAATCATGCCAGGTGTGTGTGTGCATGTCCAAGATCCCAGGAGGAAAACAGAGTAGTGATTGTGGTGTGGCCATCCCCCCTGGGGAGTGATTTCTCACTTTCTGTCTCTGTCTCTTTCTCTCTTGTGAGTGCACATGCCCTATAGCAAAAATCTCAAAAAATTTGTATCAAAACTGTTGTTTTCAGGAACATATTAATTAATTTAACTTAATTAATTTAATTAATTAAGTTTAATTAATTAAACTCCCGAGGAAACCATTTTTTAATGTATAATGTGAAAGTCCTAATTGTATGAATTTGTCATGCTGTTTGTGACTGTCAGTGTTCTTAGCCCTCAGGGGAACCACAAGACAAGGATGTGCTAATAGAGGAAGTGAATGGATTTCCATCCTTTCCAAGGTCACTAGTACCTTCTTCAGAGATACTGCACCTCAGTCTGCCGAAGTCTGAGAAAGTGCTCGCGAACGGTGCTGAGAAGAACAGTTCGTCTCTGTCCAGCGTGGAATACGCAGCACCCAGGCCCAGGAGACTATGCTCTGGAACCATGTATGGCAGAAGGCCCGGCACCACATGCCCGAATTCCCACCGGTTTCAGTTAGTCATTTCAAAAGCACCAAGTGGAGATCTTTTGGATAAACATTCTGCACTCTTTTCTAACAAACAGTTACCGTTCACTCCGCGCACTTTAAAAACTGAAGCTAAATCTTTCCTGTCACAGTATCGCTATTACACACCTGCGAAAAGAAAAAAGGATTTTACAGATCAACGGACTGAAGCTGAAACCCAGACTGAATTAAGCAGGTATAGCACATCAGTAACTAGTGGTAAACCCCTCAGGAAATTAAATGAAAATAAAGTAACTAGGTAATGATCCTTTTGTCTGTTATATTCCTAATATGCCAGACTTAGTGTCTGATCGTGCCCTTTTAGTTGAAGTGAGATTGATGTGACTTTGCCTTTTCTTTATATAAATAGATTATCAGGGTAATTGTTAAAAATAGCTATCAAGTTCTTGGAGATATGAAGGTTACATATTTTAATCTATTATTTTAGACATGATTCTAGAACTTCTGTTTGTTTTTAAATATACATTCAGAGGATTATTAAAATGTTATGAGACAGTGTTTGTATAAGTATGCGTATTGATTTGTGTCAGGACAGCAGGTGGCATGGTAGTTAAGGTGCTAGATTCTCACATTGCCAACTGCGGTTCGAGTCCCAGACCCAGTAGCTTAAATATCATACCAGGCATATGTGTCCAAAATCCTGAGAGGAGACTGGAAGAGAAGGGATTGTGGCATGCCCATCCCCCCAGGCGGGTGATTTCTCACACTCCCTCTCAACTGTCTTTCTTGGTCTCCAACAAGCAAATACACCCTGTGGCAAAAACCTAAAAACAAAAAATAAAAAGAGCTTGTCACATGGGAGAAATGAGAAAAGCAAGTATATCATATCCTTTCATCTTATTAAAAGGTAATAGTATTTTTTTTCTCTAGTCTCTGAAATTTGGCTGCTATTCAAGAAAGGAAAAAAAGCAATTTACATAAGCCAAACCGTATTTATTTCACACTTATATAATTAGAAATGACATATTTTATAAGAATAGTTGGATCTTATTGTCTTATGTTTGAGTTTATTTTTTTCTAAGCAGTAAAGTTTATTTCCATGTTTTTACATTTTGAAGGATTAATAATCATTTCTTTTAAAATATCACAGCTTTAAATCTGATTTTGGAACAGCTGAGATTAAGAACTTGACAGATTCAGAAGTAAATGGAATACAGGTAATTAATATGGCATCTCATGTGGCCACATTCGAATCACAGATACTTTTTTTTTAACTTAGCCTCTTTTTTTTTATTTATTTTTATTTATTTTAATTTGACCAGAGAGGGACAGAGTGAGAGAGAGAGAGAGAAAGCAAGTCACCAGGTCTGGGATTTGAACCGCAGTCACTGGGAGTCCAGTCCCTTAACCACCATGCCACATGCTGGCCCCTGAATCACAGATACTTTAATGTAAATGGAATATATATATATAGCTTTTGGGACTGTGAAGATTACTTGGTGTGGCAACTTAAAACAAACCTAGGTTTGTTACAACCAGCACACAGAAGTCTTGCATGTTTACAAATGTATCTCTTTCTCAAAGGCCAGGTGGACCCTGCCAAATCTGGAAAGTAGTTGTTATTAGCATCTTTTTCAGATGGTTGTTTGGCTGGTTGGCTGACTGGATGGATGGATGTTTGAATAAAATACCTCGTGTGTTGTTTTCCAAGGTACAGATTTAGATTATTAAAGGAGCTAGGAAAATTATGCAGAAGTTATTTGAGTTTTTAATGCCTATATTTTTGGTGAAGAATTGCTACCAATTATATTACTGGAAATTATATACTTTATGAGAGTAAATGGCTATCATTCACTCATTTTTGCCTTCACTTTTCGTAGGTCATAATGCTCTTGATTACATTGTTTATATTTTGAATACTTTGAAGCAAATTAAAGATTTAGTCTTCTTATTACATCCACAGGTATCTAGTTGCGTGACATATAATACCAAAGAAATAGTACCTTTACCTTTAGAAGACCATGGCTTAACGTGGGATGAGCTTAAAGAAGGTACTCTTCAGCTTTCCTCCCCAAGGTAAACAGCCTACATGAGACGTCATTTCAGCTGTTAATCTGATTGCTTTCCTGTATAACAGACATTTAGTATTTGCAGCATAGTACTTAATTTAATAGTAACATTTTAATAAATGTAATAAAATAAAAATTAATAGGGCCAGCAGTAGCATGGAAGTTAAGGCACTGGATTCCACACTGGTCAGTTGTACGGTTCGAGTCCTAGACCAGGTGACTTGCATGCCCAAAATTCTGAGAGAAAGGGGCAAAGAGACTGCAGCATGGCCATCCGCTGTGTTGGGGGTGATTTTCCCACACACCCCCACCCATCCCTCTCTCTCTTTGTCTCTCTTTGGCAAGCACACACACCCTGTGGCATGCTATTTAAAAGCTAAATAAATAAATAAAAAGTATAACATTTAAAAATAATAATAAATTAAAAATAAAAAATAAGGGGGCCTGGCGGGTGGCCTGGTGATTAAGGGTGCTAAACTCCCACATGGCTGACTACAGTTCGAGTCCCAGACCTGGTGGCTTGCTTTCTTGCTTTCTTTCTCTCTCTCTCTGTCACTCTGTTCCTCTCTAGTCAAATTAAAATAAAGTTAAATAAAATAATTATTTTAGAAAAACTAATAAATAGTATTTTATAAAATAGTACTTATATGCTCTAATCTGTTTTGATGTTACACGATTCAGTTGGCACTGTTAGTTTTTCTTAGGAATTTTACAAAGTTAGGTGCTCAGTAAAAGTTCAGCCAATTCTTTACTGAAGGGAAAGGGGACATCGGCTTGCATTATTTGTCCATGCCATTTATGACGAAAGGGCTTTTTCCCAGACAAGGCTTCTGGTAGTGATACTAAGCAGCATCTGTGTAACAGTAGAACTAAAGAGCCTCACCATGCAAGGGATCACATTTTGTGATTTTCCAGTATTCACTATATGCTAAAGCTTGACCTGTCCAAGCTATGTGGAAGCACTCTTTTTTTGTTTTGTTTTGTTTTGTTTTGTTTTCTAAAGAGATTTTTGCTATAGTACACTCTCCGAAGAGACAGAGAGAGAGACAGAGAGACAGAAAGCAAGAAATCATTCCCTGGGAAAATGGCCATGCTGCAGTCCCATCTCCTCCATTCTCTTCTTGGGATTTTGGGCACACACACACATCCTGCATGAATATAAGCTGCCAGGTTCAGAACTCGAACCACGGTTGACCACATGGAAGTCCAGTGACTTAACCATTATGTAATCTGCTGGTCCTGGGAGCACTCTTTTTTTTTTTTTCTTTTTAAGAGATTTTTGCTATAGGGTGCATGCAGTCACCGAAGAGACAGACACAGAGAGATAGAAAGCAAGAAATCACTAAGTCCGGACTCAAACCACAGTCAACTACTTGGGAGTTCAGCAAAATAACTGTTACACCATGTGCTGGTCCCCCAGAAGCACTCTTAAAAAGCTCCTTCTTGGGCCAGCAGGTGGCGTGGTGGTAAGGTGCTGGACTGCCACATGACTGACCATGGATCAAGTCCCAGACCTGGAGGCCTGCTTTCTCATTTTCCCTCTCTCTCCCTCTCTGTCTCGTTGATGAATTAAAATAATGATAATAATAATTAATAAAAATTAAACAATTTTTTTTTTTTAATGAAAAAGCTACTCCTCTGGGCCAGATGGTGGCATAGCTATTACTGTGTATGCTCATGAACCAGCACTGGCTGTGTCTGGGATTATCTCTTAGAACAGGGACCCTGTTGCTGTCTCTCATCTTTCTGTCTGTCCCTTTTAGGGACCAGCAGTTGGTGTAATGGCTATGTCGCTGGATTCCCATGTAGTCAACTACAGTTTGAGTCCCGGACTCGGTGGCTTAAACTCAATGCTGGGCTTGTGTGCATGTGTGCCCAAGATCCTGAGAGGAGAATGGAGGAGAAGGGATTGCCATGTGGCAATCCCCCTGGGGGGTGATTTCTCACTTTCTGTCTCTCTGTCTCTCTCTGTCTGTCTGGTGAGCATGTACGCCCTATAGCAAAAACCTCTCCATAAATAAATAAACAAACTTTTTTTAAAAGCTACTCATCATGTTTGGTATTCTGGAACACTACACCTAAATGAAAATGATAGATTAGCAGGCGGTAGAGAACCTAAAGGTTAGCTTCAATAGTTTCAGTTGTCAGATATAGTTCCAGTGTCAGAGATTGGATATGAGGTGAAGGTGGTGGGAAAAAAGGAGGGAACAGATTTTAAGACACAAGAATGGGATGTTACATAGCAGACCAGAAGGAAAGCACACAGTCTCCTCTGGCCCAGCTTCTCCCTCAAGCCTTTGCCAGAGATATCTGACCTGCTAAGGTGACAGGGAGTTCATTGTTAACCTTTCTTGTCCTTGAAATTCATGGTGCTTCAGTCATATAACTTAATATTTATAAACTGCTCTGGAGCCAGTTACCATTGAATAAAAAGAATAACCTATAGAAAGGAACATGTATCTTTTCTAGTAGTTTCTATCTAAACACAGTAAAGTAAAATATTATAATAGACTATACCTGGGTAAAAGGCTTGGAATTAATTAACAGTGACATAACTGAATAATGACAAAATGTATCATAATGAGCAGCTTAATAAAAATTTCCTAGGGAAAGCTATATTTCCAACATTATTTTTATGGTAACCTTAATCAAACTGTCAGTTTATACTAGGAAAGTGTCCTAATGTAGTTTTACATGTAATTGTGAACTTGTAATTAGAAGACTAGTTTAAAAACCTGTCATTGGGAACCAGCAGTTAGCTTAATGGCTATGTCGCTGGATTCCCATGTAGTCGACCGCAGTTCGCATCCCGGACCCGGTGGCTTAAAACTCACGCCGGGCGCGTGTGCGTGCGTGCCCAAGATCCCGAGAGGAGAATGGAGGAGAAGAGATTGCGGCATGACCATCCTTCTTGGGGGGTGATTTCTCGCTTTCTGTCTCTGTGTCTCTCTCTGTCTGTCTGGCGAGCGCACGTGCCCTATAGCGAAAACCTAAAAAAAAAAAAAAAAACCTGTCATTGCTGTTTACTAACATTAACCTTGGAAAGTTACTTAGCCTTTCTGACACTTGATGAACTCATTAGTAAATGGGAAAAAATAAATACTATATCTGACTGGGTCGTTTTGATTGAATTAGATAATGGATATGAAAATGCTTTTAAAATTCCAAAACTGCCGGAGACCAACCTCGGAGTGGGTGGGTTATCTTGACGGAGGTGGCGAAGGTGAACAGAAGACAGAGGCCTCGATGCCTTTTCATGCACGTCCTTTGCCGGACACCCCTCAGAGATCGCTCTCTGAGGAGTGACAACTGCTAGGAATCATCGTGCCTTTTTATTGAAAATGTGATACATGCAAGTAAATGGGTGAGGGGCAGTAAAAGATTTACTCTAAGGAACAGGGTATACAAAGCATGGAAGCAATAATTATAAAACATGCTGTTTGTCTTGTTAGCTCAGGTAAAGTCAATCACAGTTCTCAGGATGAGGAAGTCCATTTGTCTGCTGTATCTTCTTCTTGGATCTTGATTACTGGGAAGAGTCTTTTGAAGAGGGGGCTTGCAGGATGTTTGACAACTTCAGTCCCGGGCCAGGGCGATAACGTTGCTGGTTACAATGACCTAGATGGAAATCTTGTCTTGCTAAGTAAAGACACAGTTAATATATGGACTATCTATACATTACAACAATAGAGGATGAGTCTATGATCTTATATGGGAAAGGAAGATGATCTTGTAGCTCCGGAGACAACACAGGATGTTTTATTAGCAGTTTTTCATAGTCAACAGCACATAGATGAGAAACTCTTTGTAGTTGAAAGCTACCTGTTGCTTTAGATAAGAACTCCCAGCTAAAATGGTTAATCTTTCTGTGGAGCCCTCAGCTTTGTCTGCTGAGTCTGTCAATTAGTGAGTTCTTTTGTTTTATCTCTGGGTGAATGTGCTGACTTTGCCTAGCATGAGCTAACTTTGGCCTGTAGCTTTAACAAGGGTATGTACGTAAAACTAGCCTTAAACTAACTTAGTTTTCATATGCTACTGATGCTACTTTGGCTAATACTATTTTGACCTAACAAATGTTAGTTCTGGCTTAGACAGACAAGTGGGGGAGTCTCAAACTTCTCGCCCTCTTCTTAGGGAACCACATTCCTACAAGATCACTAATTGGCTTTATTGTAATGGTTGGGGGTGATATCTTACTCTTGCAGGGTACCGTAATAACAGTAAAACTCACGGCAGAGAAATTAACTATAGGCCAGTAAAACGACACAAGGAGAGTTAGTAAACCGCTGGCCTTGTCTCGCCATTTCTTCCCAGCCCAGGCCATGGGAGAAAGCCTCTTTACCAGTTTGTGTTGTCTGCATGGCCCCGTCACAAAACATATTATTACAACATAGAACGTTGTTGAACACCTGTGTTATGGCGCCATCGTTTTGCTCATATATTTCAACTTTCTTTTCTAGGACAGTACGTCATTCTTCCCTGCAGTCTCCATCAGGAAGTAAACTCTACTCTGAGTAAGATCTTTTTGACGTCTTCATTTTATTTCGTGGGGCTCAAGAATTAAAAATCACAGAAGCTATTGTTAAATAAGCCAGAATTAAACACTAATCTCTCTTACACAGAAGCCATTGTTAAATAAGCCAGAATTAAACACTAATCTCTCTTACAACCAGCTTTAAGGTATCATTTGTATAATACATACTAAATTTGTGAAAATGATGACAGTTTTTTGGAATCAATCACTTCATTTTGCATCTCCAGGAAAAATTCATCTTAGCTCATAATACGTTTTTAAAAAATAACTAGTACCCATAGTTCTGTTTTTGTTTTTGTTTTTTTAAGTAAAACAAAGTAATATAGTAATGAATAACAAAGAAGAGCTTTAGAGAAGTGCAGAATTTCGGTAAACCTATAGGACCCTTCCTGTAGGTTTCTAACCTCACCAAATCTTGGCAGGTACTATACATTTAGGTTTTAATTAAGTTACTTTTTTTCAGAGAAATAACTTATTTATACATTTTCACTTATTCCCAAACTTTCTGCTATTTGACCTTTGAAAGTGTAACTTTTCTGGGAACCGCCATCTTCCAGTAATTAAAATGTCGAACACAAAGAGGAGAGGTACCCCATACATGTTTTCTAGGCCTTTTAGAAGCAGGGAGTGGTACCTTTGGCAACATACATGTGAATCTACAAGGAAGGTGATATTGTAGACATTGAGGAAGTGGGTGCTATTCAAAAAGGAATGCCCCACAAATGTTACCATGGCAAAACTGGAAGAGTCTCTAGTGTTACCCAACATGCTGCTATCATTGTTATAAGCAAACAAGTTAAGGGCAAGATTCTTGCCAAGAGAATTGATGTGTGTATTGAGCATATTAAACATCCTAAGAGCAGATAGCGTCCTAAAACGTGTGAAGGAAAATGATCAGAAAAAGAAGAAAGCCAAAGATTCTGGGTTCAACCAAAGCGCCAGCCTGCTCCACCCAGAGAAGCACACCTTGTGAGAACCAATGGAAAGGAGCCTGAGCTTCTGGAACCGATTCCCTATGAATTCATGGCATGATGGGTGTTAAAAATAAACTATGGTCTATAAAAATGTTTTCCTTAATTAAGTAGAATTATGTTCCCTCCCCAAAGCTAATTTTAATTGTGCTCTAATTCATTTTCTGATATTTTTATTTGAATTTAGTATTTACCTGAAAGATGTTAAGTGGCTTATTATGCAACAAATAAAACTCAGTTGGTTCGAAAAAAAAAGTATAACTTTTTTGAATGTATAACATTTTATAAAACATTTAAATTTATTATCTGATTTGCATAACTCCTCTCTCTAGATTTGCTTGTTTAGTAATTGGGTAGTTACTTACTATTTACATTTTCTATTCACTGATTTCAGCTCATTAAAATCAAATTTACAATATTATCCTAATAGGATATATCCTATATTCTTGTAACATTGCTAAAATATAATTATCTCATTGGATCGTATAATAAAGAAATGTGTCCAAGTAATTAAAAGTTACCACTAAACTTATATTCAAATATTTTCCTATTAATTTTTTTATCCTCTCCAAACATTTTGAGAAAGTACGTTTTTCTGTTTAGTGAATTTCCTAACCTTCTGTTCAGTGAATAACCTAGTAAGATGTTGTCCTAGGAGTAGGAGAGGACTTCATAGTAGAAGCACCTCCTTCTCTGGACAACTTCCTTTTTTCTTCCTGTGAGTGCCTCATGAGGGCTCACGTCTGAGCTGGGGGAAGGGTCCATATCTGAGCTGTCGAACGTGGTGAGGGCTCACATCTGACCTACCGAATGTGGTGAGGGCTCACATCTGAGCTACCGAATGTGGTGAGGGCTCACATCTGAGCTACCGAATGTGGTGAGGGCTCACATCTGTGCTGCCGAACGTGGTGAGGGCTCACGTCTGTGCTGCTGAACATGGTGAGGGCTCACGTCTGTGCTGCTGATCAGCTCCTATCTGAGCTGACAAATATGAGTAGGAGCCAGAAAAGATTTGAAGCCCTCGTTGGAAGCTCTTGCTCCCAAATGTCTCACATGTGCTTGTCCTTTACCTTTGGTTTCTCCTTTCATTTTGCTTTATTCTGTTTATTCTTTATTGCTTGGATGCTGTAGACAGCTTTAAAATTTCACTCTGTTGGGTAATATTTTCTCATTTTAGTAAGTATTTATCTTTGCATATTGAAAAAGTGGACATATGTTTCATAACATTCCCCTTAATAATATGATATATAAGTACAGTTGTAATAGGAGATATGTGTGTGTGTGTGTGTGTGTATTGTGTATTAAATGCTCATGTTTTCAGAATAAATAAGCAGTCATTTTTATGCTATGTATTGCCTTGCCTTCACAGTGAAGAAGAATTACTATATCTGAGTTTCATTGAAGATATAACAGATGAAATTTTGAAACTTGGCTTATTTTCAAACAGGTTAGATATTTAACATTTTGCTTTGGCAATTGATGTACATTAAATAGTGCTCATATGGTTTTAATTTTTTAATATTATTTCTACATATTAGGAAATGAAAATTTATATTGTTTTTTTGGGATCCTATTCATATAATTGACAAGTTGTAAAGAAATTTTAATTCATATGCTAAGGTAAGTTCACAGTTTGGGGAACTTATAGAAAAGAATAAAGACTTTGGGACCAGCAGGTGGCATAATGGTTACATGACTGGACTCCCACATAGTCGACTGTGGTTGAGCCCTGGACCCTGAAGCTTAAAACTCACGCCAGGTGTGTATGCGTGCATGCCCAAAATCCTGAGAGGAGATGGAAGAAGAAGGGATTGCAACGCAGCCATCCCCACCAATGGGTGATTTCTTGCTTTCTGTTTCTCTGTCTCTCCAGTGAGCACATGAACTCTATAGCCAAAAAAAAAGCTCTTTTTTTTTTGAGAGGTTTATTTTTGCTATAGGGCACAGGCGCTCACCGGAAAGACAGAGAAACAGAGACAGAAAGCGAGAAATCTCCCCCTGGGGGGATGGCCACACCACAATCCCTTCTCCTCCACTCTCTTCTTGGGATCTTGAGCACACACACACATGCACCTGGCGTGATTTCAAACCACCACCAGGTCCAGGACTCGAACCACAGTTGACTACATGGGAGTCCAGCGACATAGTCATTACGCTAACTGCTGGTCCCAAAAAAAGCTCTTAAAAAAGGGAAAAGAATAAAGATTTTATTCATTTAAATATTATTATATCTCTTAGTTATAACAAACTAGCGAAATAAATTTTTGCTTTTATTTGCCAGTCTCCACAATTGTTTTACTATCTGAAACCAGGAGAATAAAAGCAATTTTTTGTTAGTAGTGTTATATCTAATAAAGTGAGGACAACTTAGAAACTAGGTTTGCATACATAAGTGAAATGGAAAGTTTGCAAAACCAAATTAGATATTGGACATCTTAAGAAAACTATGTGTTGAGACCAGCAGTTAGTGTAATGGCTATGTCACTGGACTCCCATGTAGTCAACCGTGGTTCAAGTCGCAGACCTGGTGACTTAAACTCAACGCTGGGCGTGTGTGTGTGTGTGTGTGCCCAAGATCCTGAGAGGAGAAAGGAGGAGAAGGAATTACAGTGTGGCCATCCACCCTGGGGGGTGATTTCTCACTTTCTGTCTCTCTCTCTTTCTGGTGAGCGCACATGCCCTATAGCAAAAACCTCTCCAAAAAAAAAAAAAAAAGAAAGAAAACTAAGTGACCCGAATCTACTTTGAATATCTGTGTTTCATAAATTCATTGGTCATGAGGCTCTCCGTTGTGTCACATAGTGTTGGACCTAGTTATGTATACTGCATGCTTTCTCTGTCGTAATATGCCAAATACAGACATTCCTAATTACTTTTTTGTTTTTAATGTTTATATTTAGTTATTTTTAGTTTGCATACGGCAGAGTGTGCTTGCCAGAGAAAGAGAGAGAAAGGGAGAAAACAACCCCATAGGGGATGGCCATCCCACAATTTCTTCTCCTCCACTCTTCTTGGGATTTTGGGCATGAATATGCACACATGTTTTTCAAGGTGCTGGGTCCAGGACTTGAATTATTCAGTCAGCCATGTAGGATCCAGCCATCTTAACCACCATGCCATCATACTGCCCCCTGATTACTTGTTTCTATTCTCCACTAAGTCAGTGTTTGTTTTTTAATTTAAGCAAATATTTTTATTATGGGTATAAAAAGGTATATCAAAAAGATGTAAACTTTTTGGCAATAATTATGTTTACTTCTTTCATTAAAAAACAATTGGTTAAAAAGGTTTGCATAATGTGTATGGAGTTTCAGATTTGTCAGATGAAAAAGAAAAGTTTTGGAGATCTCTTTCATAGCAATGTGAATTTACTTAACACTACTGAACCGTACACTTAAAAAATGATTAAGATAATAAATTTTGGTATGTTTTTTTCCGTAGCAACAAAAACTTTATATACAAAACTCATGTGTATTTATGCTTAAATTTTTATATATTTTTTAAAGAATTATTTTATTTAACTTCATTTATTTGAATTTGACCAGAGAGGGACAGTGAGAGAGAAAAAGAGGGAAAGTGAGAAAGCAAGTCACCAGGTTCGAAACTCAAACTGCTATTGGTTATGTGGGAGTTCAGCGCCCTTAACCACCACACTACGCCCCAAATTTTTATATTTTTGTAAAATATATTTTTCTCTTAAGACTACGAGGGTATTAGGGCCAGCAGGTCATGGTGGTTGAGATCCTGGACTCTCACATGACTGACCGCAGTTCAAGTTCCAGGCCTGGTAACTTGCTCTCTCACTTTCCCCCTCTGTCTCTCTGGTGATAGCATATGTCCTATAGCAAATTTTAAAATAATAATAAATAAATAAATCTTTTCTTTAAAAAGACTATAAATAGATTGCATCATTTTTAATACTAGCACCTAGAAATGCAGTCAACCAAAATGGTGAAGTATAGGCGTAATCCAATAAATCGTAGAATATTTAAGAGTGAGTTCTATTTAGCAATTAAAATTATTTTAAAAGTAAATTTACTGATATAGAAATATGTTCAAAATATATATAGTTGATTATAAAAAATGAATTAGGTATCCAAACAGTATGTCTTTTTTTAATTCCAGTTTTGGTAAAGAAATGTATATGCATAGGAAAATGCCTAGAAGTGAATATTCCAAAGTGTTGACAGTAGTTATAAAAAGTAGAATACAGATTTCTTTTATTTTTTATTTGCCAGAGGGTGTGTATACTCACCAGAGAGAGAAACAGAGAGGCAGAGAAAGAGGTAGAGGGAGAAAGCAGCCCCCAATGGGGCATAGTCATGTTACCATCCCTTCTCTTCCATTTCTTTACCCTGTTGGAATTTGGGGTACACATGTAGTTGCTCTCAACATGTTGTTCAAATCACCATGGCCAGGACTCAAAATCTGGTGATCCTTGTGGGATTCAGCTTTCTTAACCACTAGGCTACAGGTCTGGCCTCTGGTTGTTTTTTAAGAACCTTATTGGGGCCAGCAGATGACATAATAGTTACATTGCTGGACTCCCGCATAGTCAACTGCGGTTCAAGTCCTGGATGTGGCGGCTTAAAACTCAAGCCGGGTGTGTGTGTGTGTGTGTGTGTGTGTGTGTGTGTGTGTGTATGCCCCAAACCCCAAGGGGATAATGGAGGAGAAGGGATTGTTATGTGGTTCCACCCTGGGAGGTGATTTTTCACTTTCTGTCTCTGGTAAGTGCATGTGCCATATAGAAAAAAAATCTCTCTTAAAAAAAAAATATATATATGCATTCATGTGATCAAGAGATGACCATGGTATAGTGGAAAGAATAAATTCTCTGGAGCATGTGTGCACACCCAAAATCCCAAGAGAGGAATGGAAGAGAAGGGATGTCATCATGGCTATTCTGTCTTTCTTGCTTTCCCTCTCTCTCTTTGTCTCTGTCTCTCTCCAGTTAGAACACATGCCCTATAGCAAAAATTAAATATATATATATATATAAATATATATGTTTGTTTTATATGTTTATATATATTTTCCCTCCCAAACCTCTAGTAGTTTGGGAATTACATAGCTATTGTTTATTTATTTGGTTTTCTGATTTTGAGACATTAACATTTTTATCATTTGTAGGTTTTTAGAACGACTGTTTGAGCGACACATAAATCAAAATAAGCATCATTTGGAGGAGGTTTGTTTTTGCTTTGATCTTCATTAGAAAAATTCTAATGTAGAAATCATTTTAAAGTTTTTCTTTCCCCTCAAAGAATACATTAAAATATGTGCTTTTTGTTTTTCTTGAACTTTTTGTTGTGGGGAGTGGGTGGGGAAGTGGAAGGGAAAATATTAATCTGCTGAGATTAGTAGCAGTGCAGACAGTTAATTCAACTTGACTAATTTACTCAGCATAATTATTTTCATCTTTTTTTAATCCTAGGCAAAAATGCGTCACTTGCTGCATGTCCTGAAGGTAGATTTAGGCTGCACATCTGAGGAAAACTCAGCAAAGCTAAGTGATGCTGGTATGTTGAATTTCCTGGATTTTGAAGAGACTGGGAATACAGAACAAGATGAAGTTAAAAATGAGCATGAAGTAACAATTCAACAGGAACGTCAAGAATACCGAAAGGCTTTGGATATGTTATTATCTGCACCAAAGGATGAAAATGAGATACTCTCTTCACCAAATGAATTTTTCATGCCCATCTACAAGTCAAAGTATTCAGAAGGGGTTATAATTCAACAGGTGAATGATGAAACAAAGCTTGAACCCTCAATTTGGGATGAAAACAATCCAAGCATTTCAGACAGTGTAATAGACCAGGAAACATCTGTGAATGTCATTGAAGGTGACAGTGACACTGAAAAGGTTGAAACTTCTAATGCATTATGTTGTCTTAGCACATCACTAACCGAATCTGTTCAGTTGCCCAGTGAGAATGGTGACAGTAATCATGACTTGGAATTACCAGCTCTTAAAATCATGGACATGAGCATTAAGGACTGCCTTTTGGATGTTTGATCTTCACTAATAAATACCTCAAATGACCAGTAACTCAGTATACTTCTTTTTTTAATTATTATTTAGTAATATCTCTGTGTGAGTTTTCTGTTTTGCATAATAGGTTACCATAATTTTATCAACTTAAAACACTACACATTTATTACTTATCCCATAGTTGCTATGCATCGGGAATCTAAACACAGCCTAGTTGGGTCCTCTGCTCTGGGTCTCACCGATTATTGCTCACAAAGCGATAATCAAAGTAGTAGTCTGAACTAGACAAGAATCCACTTCCTCTTTTAGGCTGTTGGCAGAAGGCTTTTTCTTGTAGTAACTAACAGATCTGAAAGTTTCATTTTTCTGCTAGCCAATGTCCAGAGGCTGCCCACACTTGGCCCTTCCCTTAGGAAGGCTAAGAGGAGAACCAGAGAGACTGTTAGTAAGGTGCAGTTTTTTGGGTGTTTTTTTTTTAAAGAATTATTTTATTTTATTTTATTTATTCATTTATTTATTTTAATTTGACCAGAGAGAGACAGAGAAAGAGAAAGTGAGGAAGCAAGCCACCAGGTCCAGGACTTGAACCATGATTAGCCAAGTGGGAGTGTCCAGTGCCTTAACCACCATGCCACCTGCTGGTCCCACAAGGTGCAGTCTTAACATAATGTAACATAAATACAGGAGTGACTTTCCATCATCTTTGCCATGTTCTTTTGGTTAGAAGCAAGTCATAGGTCTCACCTATATGCAAGGAATGAGAATAGTATACAGGGGATGACTCCAGAAAGTGGAATTCACTGGGATTACCTGAGGATCTGTCAGCCTCAATTTATAAAGCTGCTTTTCAGGGGAATATATTTTACCCAAACCTAACTGGCTTTGTAGGCAATAGGAAAGTATATGATCTAGTATGGGTCTTGAAATATTATGTCTTATCTACAGTATCTTTAATTTTTTCCCTCACTTTCCTATAGTCTCAGAAGCCTCAATGGCTTTCTAATTATTCATGAGCTAGGGCAGTCTGTCAGCTGGGAATGAAGAGTTTATATGTAGTGACACACAGATGATCCATTTTACAAGAAGCTGACCATCACCACTGTGCTCAGGGTTCAGACTCAGAAACAGTCTTCAGAGAACAGTATGGTGGGGCTGACCACTCAACCCACTCACTCCCAATAAGTGGTGTACCAACACAACCTGTTGTCGTCCTTTCATGGTCCCACCTACCCCTCAGTATCATCTCTGAAATTCTTAACTCCTAACTCTCTAAGTAACTTTCCCATCTATTTGTCTTTGTCCTCTGTTCAGTTCTTGGACTCCATTTTTCCTCTGCTCCATGCTCTTTTTTTTCCTTCAGTCCCAGCCTCACTCATCCACAAACCCCTCATTTAATTATTCAGGTAGCTCCCTCAGACCTACCTTGGTTCACAATTTCCTTCCTTAGCTAGAGCTACCATCTTTCTTACGGCATTCTCAGTAACTGTTTTCTTGCTATTTATTCTCTACTCTCCTATTCAGGCCAAGCCCCAGGACTACTTCAATCTGCCCTGCTTTGACATGTCCAGTCTTCTCTATGCTTTAACCAGATACAGCTTTTTTCTGTAGGGGCGGGACCCATCCTAACTGTAATTGATAGTATGTTTTTGTTGTTGTTCTTATTCTCTAGTTTTCCTTTTATGAGGTTGGGGGCGGGGGGAGTTTTTAAAAGTTCATGGAAAATGTGTATTTTGAAAAAGTTATGCAAGAATTTCACATTTTTTTATGCCTAAATAAATTCATTATAACTTGTTTGAACAGGACCTAATTCAAAGTATTAAGAAGGACATGGCATCATATTCTAAAAGCTATCAGTGCAACATGAATTCTGTTAAGTTGAAGCAAGAACAAACATCAAATTTATGAAGATGGAAGGGGTGGAAGAATAGTGAGATTATGGATGCTATATAAAGAGTTTATGAGGATAGTACCTCAAAGAAATCAATAGTTACAAATACATAACTTGTTTTAAGAAAGGTCAAGGGTTGGCCCCATAGCCTAGTAGTTAATGGAACTGGATTCCATAAGGCCAGTTGTAGTTTAAATTCTGGCTCCAGTAGTTTGTAAAACACACCATGCACATATACGTCATCTCAAAATCCTTACACAATAGAGAAATAGAGGAGAAGGGATTGTAGTATGAACATGCCTTGTTGTAGATTGCTTTCTTCCTCACTTCTCTCTGGTGAATGCACATGCCCACTGGCTATAAAAATTAAAATTAAAAAAAAGGAAAAAATGGTGGATACGATGATGCCCACAAGCAACAGACCATCCACATCATTTCATGAGAAAAAAATTTAATCTTGCTCTTGCTGTAAAGGGGGCCAATGATTAACAACAGAATCAATAGCTAACACTATAGATGCCTCAACTGGTTTACCTTAGACAATTCTGACTGAAAAATTAAAGTTGAGCTAATTTCTGCTTGATTGGTACCAAAACTTGTACCCATTCAGGTATAGACAAGAGCAGAGATATCATTGGAAGTTTTTTAAAAGCGGGATCAAGATCCTGAAGTATTTCTTCAAAGCATAATAATAGGTTAACAGACATGGCTGTACCAGCATGATCCTGTCTGGTTTCGTGCCAGTACCTTGCTATTTTGGTTTTTATGGCATTATATTTTGAAATCAGGTAGTCAGATGCCCCTGACTTTATTCTTTTTGCACAATATTGCTTTGATAGTATGGGGTCATTTGTGATTCCAGACATTTTTTTTTACTATTTCTGTGAAGAATATCACTAGTATTTTGATAGGAATTGCTTTAAATTTGTAGATTACTTTGGATAATATTGACATTTTTGACTATGTTGACTTTTCCAATCCATGAACTGCTAGTTCTGATTTTCTATTATTTTGTTGAGAACTTTTACATCTATATTCATTAGAAATGTTGGATGGGACCAGCAGTTAGCGTAATGGCTATGTCGTTGGACTCCCACGTAGTCGACCGCAGTTTGCGTCCCAGACCCAGTGGCTTAAAAACTCACGCCGGGCACGTGTGCGTGTGTGCCCAAGATCCCGAGAGGAGAATGGAGGAGAAGGGATTGCAGCGTGGCCATCCCCCCTGGGGGGTGATTTCTCGCTTTCTGTCTCTCTCTCTCTGGCGAGCACACGTGCCCTATAGCAAAAACCTCTCAAAAAAAAAAAAATGTTGCTTTGCAATTTTCTTATTTTGTTGGTTCTTGTCTGCTTTTGGTATCAAGATGATGGTAGCTTCATAAAAGAGTTTGAGAGGATTTCCTACATTTGGATCTTTTGAAATGTTAATTGGTGTTAATTTTTCTTTAAAAAATTGTGTAGAATTCAAAAGTGAAGTCATTGGGATCTGGGCTCCTCTTATTGGGAGACTGTTTATTACAGATTCAATTGTATTATGTGTTATTGGTCTATTCAGGCTTTCTATCTCATCCTGATCCAATCGTATATTATACATACCCAAAAATTTGTACAACTCTTCTAGGTTTTCCAGCTTGTTGGCATATAGTTGCTCATAGTATTTCTTGTAATATTTCATATCTCTTGTAATATCCACTTTTTCTTTTCTAATTTATATCTAGGTCTTCTGTTTTTCTTAGTCTGGCTAGTAGTCTATTGATTTTGTTTGTTTCAAAAAAACAGCTTTTTCATTTTATCAGTTTTATTTTTTGTATTGTTCTTTTCTTTTCTACTTCATTTATTTTTGCTCTAATCTTTCCTATTTTCTTCTATTACTTTTTAGTTTAGTTTGATTTTCCTTTTCCTTGAGTTGTATTTACGTTATTGCCATCTTTCTCTTTTTCTCTGGTAAGCACCAATTATTATGAACTTCCTTTTCCATATTTTTTTACTATATCCCAAAGATTTGAGAGTGAATATTTTCATTATTATTGGCTTTAAGAAATTTTTAAATTTCATTAATTTCCTCAGGAATTTTGAAATTGTTCAGAAACTTGTTTTTAGTTTCCAGGTATTTATGTGATTTCAAAAGTTATTTTTGTTGTTCATATCAAGTTTATTTCCAGTGTAGTCAGAAAAGATGTTAGATATACTTTTAGTCTCTAAAATCTGTGCAGACTTAGTTTGTGCCCTATTTGTGGTCAATCTTAGAGAATGATTCATGTGCAACTAAGAAAACTGTATATTCGGTATTTGTTGGTCGATTGCTCTATGTGTCTGTCAGATCCATTTGGTTTATGGTATTGTTTAATTACAGCATCTCTTCAATCTTTGTCTAGATGATCTACCCAATGGTGAAAGTGAAGTGTTGAAATCTCCAACATTTGTTGTATTAGTCTGTTTCTCCCCTGAGGTCTAGTAGTCTTTATTTATTTAGATGCTATGGGGCCAGCAGATGGCATAGTGGTTATGTCACTGGACGCCCACATGGCTGACTACAGTTCAAGTCCTGGACCCAGTGCCTTGAAAATTATGCCAGGCACATGTATGTGCATGCCCAAGATCCCAGAAGGAGAATGGAGGAGAAGGGATTGTGGTATGGCCATCCCGCCAGGGGGGGTAATTTCTCACTTTCTCTCTCACTGTCTCTGTCTGTCTCTCTTCCTGGTGAGGACACGCACCTTATGGCAAAACCTCTTTAAAGAAAAAATCTAGATATGCATGCGTGCACACACACACGATGTGTTTCTTAAGCCATTAGATCTAGGAATCGAACCATGTAGTCGTCCATGTGGTATCCAGTGCCTTGCCTACCATACCACAGGGTGGCCTCTGACACTTTCTTTTGCATTGTCTATCCTGTTGTTGATGCTCTCTATAGAATGTTTTATTTCCTGTGTTGTATTCTTCATCTCTAGGATCTATTTGATTTTTTTTTTTAATTTTGGTATAGGGCATGTGTGCTCTCCAAAAAGACACAAAGATGGAGAGAGAGAGAGAGTGATAAATCACCCCTCAAAGGGGATTGCCACACTGCAATCCCTTCTCTTCTCAGGATTTTGGGCAGGTCTACATACATACCTGACATGATTTTCAATCTTCTGAGGCTGGTATTTGAACAGCATAGTCAGCCATAAGGGATCCAGCTGCCTTAACCATCATGCCACATGGCTGAACCTCTGGGTAGGTTCAGCCTACGTGGTGCTAGCAGGGGCAAGCAGGTGTTGAGACTCTAGGGGGAGTCTCTGCTTCATACCTTTTCTTCTCTATGCCCAGGTGTGGGGATTCCCAGCAACCTCCTCTCAATTAGCTGTTTCTCCCTCCCCTCTCCTCCCCACCCCTCCCCTCTCCTTCCACTGACAGGGAGATTAGGAGAGCTTCGCTGCAGGTGACAGAGGGAGCAGGGACCCGCCTCTAGAGCTTCATGTTGTGGGAGAAAGGTGATGCAGGCCTTCTAGTCAGTTGGGGAATGTCTGGTTTCCTCAGTGTCTCTTGTGGGGTGAGAGAGTGCACACATACACCAGGTTCTGTTCCTTGGAGCAGTCCTGCTGAGCTGGTCCATCTATATTCCAGAACGTGTTGCATAGCTTGGATGCCAAGGTCACAGCCCTACTGCTCAATCACTGTAAGCTCCCATGCAGGTCTGATGAGATTTCTGTGGGTCCTTAGGAAACTGAAGATTTGCAGGTTATTGGTTCTTAGTGCAGGTTTCACGTTAGCAGTTGCTCTGTTCTCAAAATGGTGTCACTCTTTACCTACTTGGGTCCTGGGAATTGGGGTTAACCAAGGGTTATCCATTGGGGTTATCCTTTCCAAGGGGCCAGCAGGTGGCATGGTGGTTAAGAGTGCTGGACTCTCACATGGCTGACTGCAGTTTGGGGTCTTGGGCACACATGCACACACACTCAGCGTGAGTTTTAAGCTGCTGGCCTCAAACTGTGGTCGACTATGTGGGAGTCCAGCAATGTAACCATTATGCTATCTGCTGGTCCTGGATTTTATAGATTTTTAAAAGTCTGTTCATTTGATATACCAGTCGTTTGACAGAAATTAACAAATACTGATCAAAACATGTATCTGGTGATAAGTCATTTTCAGAAATTTATAACAGTATGTCAGCCACACTGTTAGTAGTCTTGCAGTTAGGAGTTCAAACAATTACTCCTTTCTAGCTACCTGTTTATACTTCTAACTTTAAAGTATGTGGTTACTATCCCTTTCTTAACCCCTCCAAATATTGGAAAATGATTAAATTTATTCTGGTTGGGGCCAGTAGGTGCCATGGATCCCACAAGTCTAGACCTGGTGGCTTGAAAAACATGATGGGCACGTGTGCCTGCATGCCCAAAACCCTTAGAGGAGAATGGAGAAGGGATTGTGGTGTGGCCATCCCCCTGAGGGAGGCGATTTCTCACTTTCTCTCCCTCTGTGGTTCTCTCTCTCTCTCTGGCGAATGCACACACACCTAAAACTAAAATAGTAATAATAATAGGGACAACAGATGGTCTAATGGTTACATCATTGGACTCCCACATAGTGGTTTGAGTCCCAGACCTGGAGGCTTAAACTCACACCTGGCGCATGTGCATATGTGCCCATGATCCTGAGAGGAAAATGGAGAAGGGATTGCAGCCCAGCCATCCCCAACAGGGGGGTGATTTCTCACTGTCTGTCTCTGTCTCCAGTGAATGCACACACCCTATAGCAAAAATCTTTCTTTAAAAAAAATTCAGGTTTTTGGAAAATTAAGTATTTTAATTTCTTAATGTATGTGGATAATTTAAACATTTCTGGACATATGTACAGGGCAACCTTAACTTTACATGTGGCCTAGAGATACCCTTTACATTGTAATATTTGCCTCAGAACGGCTGCTCTGTCAGCTGAGTGGTGCGGACTTAAACTTCCTTCTTTCTTGACCCATCCCTTATCGCCATTTGAACCAGTGACAATACTAGGGAAGACACGCTAAGCTACAGGAAAGACAAGGCAATGTTCTTCCAATTCACCCCTGCTTCTCCTCATAGCCCATTTCCTAGTCTGCGTCCCTGCCTGCCCTAATCATTAAGTCCCATTCCCTTCCTTCCCCACACGCCACCAAAGCTTCTGCAACAAATGCTAGCATATTCACCCTGTGAAGTTTTCCCATGGAACTGACCCGTCTGATTTCAGTTGCTTTCTGAGTCTCCATCGCCACTGCCCGGCAGAAGCAGGGAGAAGTCATCGTCTGATCTCACCAGCAGGATGCAGAAAGGAAAAAACTTACCCCGTATCTTCTTGCAGTGCAGAATACAGAGATTAGGTTCTGTGCCACTGCTTTTCGGTCTTCTTGATTTAAATAAGCTTTGGGAGGACAAATCAAGAACGTTAGCATCCACTTAGAATATTGTTTGCCAGGAGAAATACTGCTATATTTCAGTTTCACATACAAATGAATTTTTAGAGCAAAGCTTTTATTTGGGAACTGGGTGAAACATATAGAAAACGATGCCACTTTTAACAATCCAAAGACTCCAGCAAGTGTTTTCTAAAATCCTCTGTATTTACCCATCCCCCAAACACACAGTTTAAACTGGACTTCCTGATTTTTTTCTCATTTTTCTGTAATGGTATATAATAAACCGAGCATTCATGTACAGGAATTTGAAAAACTCATGTTCTTTGAGCAGTATTTTCCAGACAAATTCTTAACAAAGCAATTCCTCTATTTTTGAAACATCTACCCCTAAGTTCGAAAAAAGAGTCTCTGTAATTTAGATTTTTAATAACCCTTAAGCTTTAGGGATAGTTTTCTTTCACTTGAAATCTTGTTGGGAAGCAAATTCCCCAAATTCACAAATTTGAATCCAGTTCCTTTAAAAAGTCTGATTTTAAAAATGATTTACAATACAGTTGGTTTAGTGGCCTGGTGGTTAAGGCAGATCCTATCTGGCCAATAGCACAGTTCAAATCCCAAACCAGGTGGCTTGAAAAAAACATGCTGTGCATATGTGTATGTGTGTCCAAAATCTGCCAAGACGGAGAAAGGGTTGCAATGTGACCGTGTCCCATTGGGAGAGTGCTTTCTCTGTCTCCCTCTCTGTCTCCCTGGCAAGTGCACGTGTCATCTGGCAAAATTAAAAAAAAAAAAAAATTTACAGTAAACCGTAATTTCTTTAGTAATTCCTGTCTTTTATTTGTTTATGTAAACCTCAAATAATAAACCTTCCCTTGATAAGTTGCAACTGACCTCCCCCAACTTTAATAAATTTTACTGTATGTAGTTACGTGCTATATATATTTAAATGTTCTTAGCACTGTGAGCATTAACACATTGACCCATTTGAAACGACTCGTTTCTTCTGAAGGTAAAAGCTCCGCAGAAAAGTCGTCCATGCCATGTTGTCATCACTCAGTCCCAGACCGCAGACTCCCCAATTCTTCAGTGTTTCTGGCGAGACACTGCTCTTTCGGAAAGTTTCTAAGGAAGCACAGGTCCCGTGTCTGTTTTAATCTTGCCAAAGGGATTTCAACACTAAATTCTAGGGCTTTCTGAATTGCTTCACAGTAGATGTTCCAGGAGAAAACTGTAATTAACAGTCCAGATGATATTCTTTTTTGTTTTTTTGGGGTTTTTTTGGAGAGGTTTTCGCTATAGGGCACGTGCGCTCACCAGACACAGAGAGAGAGACAGAGAGACAGAAAGCGAGAAATCACCCCCCAGGGGGGATGGTCACGCTGCAATCCCTTCTCCTCCGTTCTCCTCTCGGGATCTTCGGCACACACGCACACGCGCCCGGCATGGGTTTTAAGCCTCCGGGTCCGGGACGCGAACCACGGTCGACTACGTGGGAGTCCAGCAACATAGCCATTACGCTAACTGCTGGTTCCCCAGATGATATTCTAAAATCAACACTTTCTTTGCTCAAAACTATCAACTAGAATATTTCATCGAAAGACCTCACTGATCAGGAAAGCTGATGCCAGAGATGCCAAAACTTATCAGTGGGAAACACCGTTTATAGCCTACTCTTGGTGAAAAAGAATATTTTGGTAATTTTGATGGTAAATTAATAATTACCAAGGAACTAAAACACAAAGATACATGAAACATCGTGTACGTTTGGCACCCACTGACATCCTCAGTGCACACACAGTGAGTCTATAAACTTCAATGTTCTACAGTTTGTTCTTGAAAATCACATTATTTCAGTCAGGTAATACAGATTTATCTTTATTCAGAAACCCTTTCATATTCACTAACTGCAATTTAAAGTTTAAAATTACATGGCTCTGAAAAGCAATGTCAGACATGCGACATTTTAAGAATGACAGGTTTAAACTGTAGTTTTGTCCTCACAACAAATGTACTTATCAAACTATTACAACAGGGACACAAGTATACCATATATTACTCCAAATTTTGGTTTTACAATATGTTCTTGTCAACAGGACACTTCAAAATGTTCAAGTCTGAGAGAAAGCATAAATGTACCACTGGAAGAAAAAGCATAAAAAAAACTGTCCTTTATATGGAGTGGAGATGGGAGACACTACCATATGAAACACTATTCCAAAAATCTTCTGAGGAGCTCTTTCTGAATATGCTCACGTAGGTCTATTGTTCCTTAGACAAAGCCTTTCAAATAATTTTAGATTTAAAATTAACATTTTGTCCCTACGTAAAAGTATTTCCACTGTCAAAATTCATTTTTTGTGAATGAATTGGGTTATCCTCTTAGGTGGTGAGTTTCTGGGTAAATCAGAGTTTGGCTGCCACCTACCTCACCCTGCCTCACTGCTGACAGCACACATCTCGTGCTCACAATAATGAGTGCGACTCTTTAGGAGTGACATGAAAACCAGAATGATGTGTAGTTCTAGATTTGACATTATAGGAAATCAGCCTCAGGAGTAGGGAAACAGAAAAGGCTTCTCAGCTAAATACTCCAATTAGTCCTGACTTTTTCAACAACTGTGACAAGGCCATCTTAGCCTAAAGCCAAAGACCACACTCAGCCCCTTTAACTTAGCCTGGTGCTGTCCATTGGTTGGGATGTGCCTAAATGGGAAGGGAGAGGGAGAGACTAGGTAACCAAAACTGACCGAGGGGATTAGGGAACTAAAATTCAAGTACCTCTTGAATACCACACAGCAATCTCTGGTGGTCCCACAAGATTGGGCTATGGTTTTGGGAAAAGAGGTGAAACTGTTATTAACTATTCCCTTTTTTTTCAACCAAAAGAAAATAAAGCCATTTTGAGGCTTCTTTTAATGATAAACCTGGATTTATTTATGGAGGGATAAAAACGAATACAGGTTTAAGATAGAAGAACTCCAAGGGAACAAAACAAGTCATTGATAGTGCAGGCCTTGAGTTCCCTAGGAAAAGCTCTGTGGGTCGGCCTGGTGTTCCCGGCCCCATTTTCCATCGCACGCCTCAGTCAGAGCACAGGTAATAATGCATTTCTGCAAAGACGAAAGCATCTGGCACTTTCCATCACATTTCACTTACTCGTCCTGGTCATCCTACGTACCCTTAGCCCTCCTCTCTTATGAAACCCTTCTAAGACAATGTCCATTGTTATTGTTTCATCTATAAAGCAACACATATATTAAAACTCCGATTTATTGTTTTGAACAAAAAAAGTGCGTAAAACCATCCTAAGCAACTGTTTTTCACTTCATTTTCAACCAGTAAAATCAAACTCATTTAGGTTTATTAATAATACTGAGAAGATACTGAATCTGATTATTTTCTTACATTTTAAATAATATGCCTTCGTTCCCAATTTTACAAATTAATTGACTCATTTCTGTATCTTAATGAATTGAGCTCATATTTGGAAAATATAGGAGGTACAAATATATAGGACTTTTAGAATAAAAAATTTTCTGAATATAAAAATGCTTTCTGTTTCAAAATAACACTTTTAGATTTTCCTTATAGTTTTTGGGTTTGGTAGCTAAACCATTAAGTACCCAAGGATTTTTAAAAATAACAAAAGATAATAACATGGTTTTAAATACAAAGCTATACACAAACCACTCTTATCTGTGGGTTATCCCCATGGAAAGTTCTGTTCCTTGCTAAGAAAACCCCTCAATATTTTAGTCATAAAATAAAATTTCCATTATCAAAAACTAGTCCAAGATAGAAATCTATGTGCCTTAATGATTGCCAGAATTGCCCAGCATAGCTTCGGTAAAATAGAGAATTGTCTAGAAAATACAATCTCCAAAACGTGTGCAAGTACTGCAAATCCGACAGACCAGAGCAGGCAATGCCCTGAAAGTTAAATCCTTCTTCAGCATCTTTCCCAGGTCAGAAACCCCCCTTCGGTCTTGTGCTTTGCAATTTCCTTCAGTGCGCCACCATTCACGTCGCACCGCTCACGTCCTGATGTATCGCTGTGTGCATCAAGTGGAGAGGAGAAAGTATGAGTGAGGCAAGCACGTTTCAGCTGTAAACGCTGCAAGGATTAGGTCCCCAAAACAAGCTGTGGAGCTCAGATGAGCCTGGAGCTCTTCAGGAACTGGATGAGAACTCCGTATACAAACGTGTACTGGCAGAGCGTCTGCACCAGCAGCATTCTCTGCGCACGCAGCATGGCCAGGACTCTCGGGATGTCCAGCACCTACGTTGAGAGAAACAGTGATGAAGGAAGCGTGCTCCCCTGTGGTGAGAAAAGATGGCAAAAAAAGTGGTGTCCTGGCAGAAATCTGGTTAAGAGATGGACTACTACTCTAGTATAAATATGAATAGAATGTTCATGCGAATTATTTCTTCAACATTCCCTAGGCATAGCTCACGGACTTTGTCTGGTTAAATATAAACTACTGTATCTCACCAAATACCAACACTCAACAAAACACCCCGGGAACCAGCAGTTAGCGTAATGGCTATGTCGCTGGACTCCCACGTAGTCGACCGTGGTTCATGTCCCAGACCCAGTGGCTTAAAACTCACGCCGGGCGTGTGTGCGTGCGTGCCCAAGATCCCGAGAGGAGAATGGAGGAGAAGGGATTGCAGCGGGACCATCTCCCCTGGGGGGGTGATTTCTCGCTTTCTGTCTCTATGTCTCTCTCTGTCTGTCTGATGAGCGCACGCGCCCTATAGCAAAAACCTCT